AGTTGTGAATCAGAATGTCACACTCACCGACACAGTTTATCCGAGTAACTCATACATTTATGTGTATTATAAGGCTTGAAAACATTTCTCGTCGCCAATGTTGTGTATTGGAACACACTAGTATAGTAATAAAGTGTAATAACACGTGTTTATGGCAAGAACTACTTTTTAATTGAATGAACATATAACAGCGAGAACCAAAGTTATGTACACATAATATAGTTCCGGAATACCTGGACATAACGCTTGATCATAACTTTTGAATAATAAGAGATTATTAGGGCTTTCATATTTCACATGTACATTATCACAAAGCTTTCTAAATATACTATGATTTTTTAACCAAAGTGAGACCTTGACCTTAAAGTTTTACCTTAACTTTCCAAAAAAAAACATTTTAAATTGATCATTTTGAAAGAGAAAAGATAGGGCATTCAAATTATACATGTATATTACATGTGAAAAGACTTTTCTAAATATATCATGACATTTTTTACTCTGTGACCTTGACCTAGAAGTTTAACCTACTTTTGAAAACGATTATATTTTATTGATAACTTTTGATTGAAAAGAGATAGGACTTTCATATTAGACATGTACATTACCTGCAACAAAATGTTTCTAAACATGCTATAATTTTTTTCCCTTTTGACCTAATTTTCAAAAATTGACATATGATAGGGGTGCATATTTGACACACAATCTGCCATAAATTATGGCATCCAATTCACTAAAACACAGAAAGCAGAGGACCACAATAAATCTTTGAATTTGTTTGTATAATCTTGATATGGAAACATCCTCATATAATGTAGATTCAAGTTTTTTATGCTACGCCATCATGATTAATTAAGAATACATATATATAGTTTTTGTCATGTTTATCCACCACCCTTCCATCTGTCTTTCCATCAGGCTTAAAGAAACTTTTTAGATATTTTTATCAAAGTTCATATGTTGATGCATACTGGTGTAAACTATCCAACTGCAACAATATTTTTTGACTTTGATTTTTCCTTTGACCTTCCCTTAACTTTTCTTTAAATTAGTGTTTAGCTTTTAATATTTTAAAGAAACAATTCAAGTTGTGTAATGAAACTTCACATGATGATAGATACTGATGTAAGCTTTACAATGCTTCACACTTTTTTACCTTGACCTTTACTGTGACCTTGACCTCACTTTTCTTAAATTAATGTCTAGATCAGTTTTTAATAAACAATTCAAGATATATTTATCAAACTTCATATGCTGATACATACTGCTGAGAGCTATTAATGCATCAACTTATTTTGACCTTGAATTTTTGTTTGACCTTGACCTCACTTTTTAAAATATGTGTTTATCTAAGTTTTAAAGAAACCATTAATAAATTATATTTTTATCAAACTTCATATGCTAATAGTAAATTCATACTGATGTAAGCTTTTCAACTACAACAACATTTTCCAACCTTTTCTTTAACCTCTCTTTCCTCAAACAAAGTGTTAAGCTCAGTTTCATTAAATCATTCAAGATATTTTTGTCAAACATAATATGCTGAATTGTACTAGTAAGAGCTATTCAACTGCATCAAAAACTTCACCTTGCACATTCCTGTGACCTTGACCTCCCTCCTCTTAAATTTGTATTTTGCTTAGTTTGAAAGAAATATTTATTTAAGACATTTTTATGCTTAGCATGCACTTAGACATAATTTTTTGAGAATTTATTATCTATATATACAATTTATTTAGATTTTAGTTTCAATTCTAAAGAAACTGTTCAAGATCTTTTTATCAAACTTTATTCACTAATACAAATTTTCATGTAGCATTAGTAATATACATCCGGCAGGACATTCATGTCCTATAGACATATTTCTAGATTTTCAAATCATGATATCTCAAAGTCTATAGGGTCAGGCCACAATTAGGGATCAAAGTTTTATTTAGGAATAGAAGGAAACAAATCTTCAAAATTCTTCTTTTCAAGAACAATAGCATATGATTAATGTGGAAACATTCTCAAGAGGTGTAGATTTAAGTTTGTACAAATCATGACCCCCTGGGTTAGGGAGGGGCCATTTTTTTCCTGTCCCTTTTTGCCATCCACATGAAAATGCAGATTTTTAAACCATTTTACACATAAACAAAACAAACCAATCATTTTCCAAATGATTATGGTTTAAAGCTATTAATGCAAAAAATATTAGGGATTAGTTCTTGAAAGCAGGGTGATTGTACATATCAAATATTTAAAAAAAAAAAAAAAAAAAAAAATTCTACCCCTATTTGACCATCTAATTTACTACAGCCCTTTTGCAGTAGAGTCCAGAAAGCTCTAAATTTTGCCAAATTACTGGGGGCATTGATTACAGTAGTGACAATCGAATGATTTGATCAATTTTATGCCAAAAGTACAATGTATTGCCAAGAATTGAACCCTGATTGTCAAAAAAACAAAGTTTAGAATATTTTATCAGCTTTAAAATGTGATGATTTTCAATGAAAATTTAATGAGTAGAGCCCGCTTAGTTAGAAATATCATTGACGTTAAAAAATGTAACATATTGTAGGATTAACATTAGCTTCTCTCAAAAATTAATTAGGCTGGTTCAGCGATTGTTTAGCAAGGTATATTCTACCAGGAATTTTTACTGACATCTGTCTTTTTAACTTCTACAATGATTGATTATCGGCCACAGCAGCGGGTGATCTATTTGTGGTTTTTCAGAAAGTGCACATGGGGAAATGAGAGGTTATTTTTTTATTAGTTTAATAAAACAATTCTTAAATGATAACAACTAAAAATTATGAGTGAAATGTTTTAAAAACTTGCTTTAAACATATTATTAATTTCTAATATTATATTTCAATTTCATTATCATTTCTCATCAGATAATTGATAATTTCTGGTTATATAAAAAGAGTTTACAATAAATACTCCCCAGCCTGGGAGTGCGTATGATTTGAAATGAAATCGACATGATTTCTGAAAAATAATGAAGTCGTAAAAGTGCATGGTGAATAGGAATAGAAAAGTTTTTCAACTAGTAAAAAATGGTTTGAATATGATCTACAGCTGCAAATGACACAAAGATATTTTTTCTATATTTTGCACCGTGGATTGCAGCATAGCCTACTCTGCAGATACCATATGGGCATTATCAGTGACCAAGATCAAGGGTATCAGCACCTGGTTCATCTTGAAAGGCCTACATCTTCATTTTGATGACAAGAAATTCTCACTGACTTTTTTTTTTACATTGGTGAATCTATTTATGAGCAAATTCAGTAAAATGTCTATTTATTAATTGAATTTTAAAAATTATTCCTTTTGCTTTGAAGACAGCTTAGATATAAAACTGATTCAACTATTTCACCTTTGAAAATCTTGACATGCTTTCCTTGCATGGACGCTTTTAAAATTGTGAAAAAAAAATTATTGTTAAATTTTGTTTGCGGACGATTTGATGCTTGGCATCAATTTTACTGTGTTGCATTGTATTCAATAGCACATTTGCAGCCATCCAACAGACGTTTCCTACCTCCATCGCGAAAGAGTTCCGCTAAGTTTAGTAATCGCGATATCAATTAAGTATACTGGAAACTTTTGGCCTTTTAAATTCTGAAAAATTGAAACTGCTAGGTTTTAGATGATAATGCATTAAATATAATATACCACCATGATTTGTCAAAACTGATGAATTTTCTAGCTAGCTCTTGCACGTCATTAATTCCGTCATTTTCCCTTTATCCTGAAAATTTCTACAGTAACAGCCTACCTTTGAAGCTATCGTTAAATATTTCATACAGAGTGCAACCTCTGATCTGTAGTGTGCATTTAAGTATGAAATAATTAAACTGTTATTGAAGATTGCAAAACATGTTTGTAATCGATGCTACCATATTAATGATATTTTCTCTCTTCGTTAAAAGTACTCGATAAACAATTTGTTTTATTTAACATTCAAGAACATAATAATTTTACAAGACTGTTTTCTATCACCTGAAACCTCTATGGGACCATTTAATGCACTAAACTTACACATGCACAAGCTTTAAATTTTATTCTCTCTTTAATTGGGTGATCTAATAAGAATTACACTTTAAAGATTGATATATCAGTATCTATATGAAAAAGATACTGACTTCGGGAAATAATTTTATAGTTTTTACGATACTTTTATTGAGAATAACTTTTCAGGAATAACCAGAAATCGGACCAAGTTACTCTGTCTCTTTATGATAAATGGGACTTCTGTTTGAAATTGAAGTGCTTATGAATATTACCGGTTATCTTGATATCATATCCATTATACGGTTAGTACTTCTATATTCTTTTGCAGTTTGTACTTTCCTCTGAAACCTATAAATGAAATGTATATGATTTTTAAAAATGTTTTTATTTCTAGTCTTGCAGAAAATTAATAAATATATTCCTAGAATGGAACTTGACAGCAAACTTCAAGTTGTTACTTCCTCCCAGATATATGTATATGATTTCAATAAGGCGACTATTAAGTTAAAGCCTAATTTCAATTTCATATAATTATAATAATTTTCATTCGAAATAAAATTTTCTCTAAAATTTTCATCTTAAACTTTATCTAGGTAGAACAAGTGTTTGGTTTATCTGAAATCTTTTCTGATCAATATAAGCAAGTTTAAATTGTTATGTTGATTGAGTAGCATTTTTTTTTTTAAAAAAAAAAAAAAAAGGATTTTTATTCGCCATGTCTATAAGTTTATAACTCGACCCATCAGCATTTGACTCAAGTGATATCTTGCTGATCTGCATTTTTTTTTCTCTTTGTCAAGATATTAGCATTGTTGTATCAGATTTATTCTACATAAAATTGCTATTAAAAAGTTTTGATTAAAATTATAGTATTATTTAGGCAAAAAAAACATAATAAATCAAAAATTAAATTTATAAAGCTGATGAACGTTATACAAATAGATAGAGAATGAATGTCTACAGAAATGATTTTGAGTTGAAAAATACACAAAAATTATCTATTCTGTTCTTAAATGTACGATAACAGCGTCATGATAGCTGTAATAGACTGGCATGATTTCTACACTTGCTTCGATCTCTTCTGTTACATATACATGATCCAGAATAGTGTCACCCTCTGTTGTTGCAAAGTTAACTTTCTGCTTAAAGCCATTGGTCTCTAACATTCTTTGAATTGGTCCTTTCAGTTGCGCGTCTTCATTAAAATCTCCAAGTACAAGGCATTTGGAATGCTGCACTTTAAAGAAATCTACAACTTTCTGCAGACTTTCTAAGAAAAATCGGACACTCAGAGTACTTGGTCGGTATATAAGAATGATTACAGTGTTCTCCTCATAAAGTTCTACAGCCATTCCCTCAATATTAGTTTCAGGTAAACCATTAACTAAAGCCTTTTCCTTTCTCTTCTTGTAAACACCAACACCTCCTCCTTTTGCTGTACGAAGTTGAGCAAATGTGTCCATACTTTCATCATAAGACTGCTTCCTTGTAATATGGTTCAATTCAAAGTCAGGAACTTCAAAGTATTTCGTACTTTCATTGTCTGTCAACCATGTTTCTGTTAGACATATAAAGTTTGCACTAAGAAATCTGGTATCGCTTTTAAGGTCTGGAAAATGTCCTCTTAAACTTTGCACATTGATTAAGACAATTCTCTTGAATTTTCCTATTTCTGCTCCGAAACTGATATCATTGTGCACTAGGATTAATTTCTCCATCTTACACAGTGCTGATTTTACGTCTGGGTTTGCATAAATTTTTTTCTCCAAAGCATTTTCATCTCTTGTTTCTATGAATAAACCATTTTGTGAAGTGACACGACTAATTGCAACATATGCCTGTCCAGGAGCAAAAGTGCGATCTAAATTAACAACAACGCTGTTAGTTGTCATTCCTTGAACTTTATGTGCTGTGCATGCCCATGCGAGTTTCAAAGGAAACTGGTGTCGAACAAAATTCTTTGTATTTTTCTCTCTGATATCTTCTTGTATTCTTTGAATCAGAACTTCGTTGCCACGTGCTGTCCTTTTTCCTAGGAGTCTCCCAATATCTTCACAATCAAAAACCACTTTAATTCCTTCTATCTTATTTCTTTGCAGAGTTGTACCAAAATGAAAATCTGAAATATGCCCCATTGCGCCATTAACAAGTCCATCTTCCACATTGATATTTCTTGTCAGCATCACTTTAGCATTCACAGACAACAGCAATGAAGTTGAAAGACCATCTGTCCTTGTCCTTAGATAAGGTTTTTCTCGTAATGTCAGCTTTCCTGTAGTTTTGTCTTTCTGATAATCTTCAGCAGCTACCTCTATCAATTCTCCACAACTAGTTTGCAACATCTTGAGATTATATTCATTTGCCTCTTCGTTTGTAGGATACACATGCAGCACTTCGTCTGGTCCATCTCTTATGCACTCTTTTAACATTGTTTTCGCCTCTTCTGATAGTGGTTCTTCAATTGTTCGAACCCGTAGTGAATTCAAAACTGAAGCAAATGCAGCATCCTCTCGTTGTCTCATTATTTCATCCAACTCAATGATTTTGAAAAAGTCTAACCAGTAGTCAATAGGATATTCTGCATTTTCTTTGTACAATATTTCCGCTTTTCGTTGTTTTACAGGAGGCAATTGAAAGAAATCTCCAACAGCTATAATCGAAATACCACCAAATGGTTCCTTACATTTCTTGATCTGCACCAGGCGTTCGTGAACGTAGTACAAAAGTCGTTTGAAAACCATTGAAACTTCATCAATGACTAAAATCTGCAGAGATGCTAACTTTACTCTCATTGCACTCAAAGTCTGTTCCTTCAGAGGTTCGTAAGGAATAGGTAGTGCTTTGGTCAAAGAAAAGACATGGTGAATTGTATTTCCCCCAATATTGAAAGCCGCTGTTCCAGTAAAAGCTGTGAGAAGAACTGACAAATCTGAAGGAGTTAAAAGTGTTTTTTCAAAAACCCTTGAAGCTTCATACTGTATAGTCTTGATCAGGTGACTCTTACCTGTCCCTGCACCACCGGTGACAAAGATATGTAATGGTTCTATTTTCTTTCCAGACACTTTCTTTAAACACCAATCACGAACTAAATAGAAAATCTGCTTCTGTTTTTGATTTAAACTTCTCAATAAAGGAATAATTTCTTGTCTTGAGTTAGAATTTTCCCTTATATGATAGATCATGTCTGAGCAACCATCAAGTTCAATTTCATGCGTAGTCTCTGGTTCTCTATTTTCTGATTGTTCTATTGTCCTCTTTTCTTTTAGACATTCTTCTCGATTCTTTTCAGTTTCTGGACAAAGGTTTGCCCAAGCATCTTCAGGTTCACCATAACATTCTAAAGTTTCCTGTGCATTTTCAAGGGCATCCTCATTCTTTGAAAAGATACTACGATTATTTTCCACAATATTTCTCACTGATTGTAGTTTGTTTGCAGTTTTCATATTGACAAACCCATTTTCATAAAAAGTCTGGTGTAAGTCGAATCCAGGTGGTTTCAGCTGATCTTGGGTCACATATGGAAGAAACAATTGTAGTATTGATTGATAATACTTTTCTGGTACATTTTCGGGGTTGAATCTTGGATATCTTATTACGGCTGGCTTTCCCCTTGTTCTTTTCTGAATGTATCCATTTCCATTCTTCAATTCAAAAACAGTTTCTTTTTCTCCCTGAGGAATCTGAGATTTCGCCAGAACACGATATTCAGAGCAAAATTCCGCAAGGCACATCTCGGGAAAAGGATGTGAATCAGGTCGACTTTCATATCTCTCTACTACATTTGTCATCCAGATGCTGTCGTCATCATCTTCAATGTCAACGTCATTTTCATTATTTGATTTTCTTTTCATTTGTGCAAGAGGTTTACTTAACCGGGTTGGATTTTCCCCAACAGGAACAAAAGTCACCTTTCTTGAACTTTCTTTCATTTTTAGATTGCAGACTCTATATACTGCTTCTTGTGCACTGACCTCTCTATGATTGAGATAAGCTGATCCAATTTTTTTCATCGTTTGACGAGCATTTAAATTCCCCTCAGCAGATTCTATTTGAGTTTGTTTCAACAACATTCCCATTTCCCGTTCCGATTTTGAAATGTAAGAAATAATGTACACAATACAGCTAAATGGATCAAGTATGTACTGAATGTCCATGTTAGCATCCCAGCATTTCAGAAGGCAGGTGTTGTATTGATTTGTCCACATTTCATCTGGATTTCGTCTCAAGATAGTACTTGTTTTTGCCGATAATAGTCTATGTGCTTTTTCATATAAATCTTGAGATAATCCCATATTCATGAACATTTCCTCAGTAGTTTTGCATTCATTCTCATCATTAAGTACTTCATTCCAAACATGCAGCAAGATATCTTTTGCTTGAGATTTACAGAACTTTCCGTCAGTCTCCGTGTCCTTTTCCTCTTCCTCACATTGTCTTGTAATAAATGTTCTTTGCGACGGCGGTCTTGGAAAATTGAATCTACAATCTGTTCCCTTTTTCTTACATGATTTTGAATGATTCTTGCTATGCTGCTGAACACCTAAAACAATTCTCCGGAGTTCTGAGTCATCATTTTCAGAAGGTAAAGCACATGTGATATATCTATCGATGAAATCACAAACTGTTTCCTCGTCATCCTCGTCAAATTTCGGTGCATTTTCAACCCAATACAAGCAGTGCATGTGTGGAGAGCCCCTTTGCTGGAATTCTACTCTTACAAAATAATCAGTAACATTGCCTATTGGTTTTGATGGTGAGAGTATAACATGTCTTTGAAACATATGGAATCTATGTTCAAACATTCTGGCCACAGTAACTGGATTACTTCTCAAAATTTCACTCTTTTCTGACCAGTCTAAATCAGTAGGCAATCTAGAATCATTATCATGATGCAATATTGATCCAATAATTTCATTCCATCTGTACTCTGCTGCAGAAAAAGAGCAAAACCATGTTGGAATACCCAACTGTCGTAGCATAGCAAACAGATCTTTCTGAGTAGTTGACCAATATGCAGGTGTTCCACGAATGGGTTGCATAAAGCGTAAAGCCTCATCATTCCTCAGCAGTTTGGAGAGTATGTCTGGATTTTGCAACATTTCAGATGTTACTGCTTTTCCACCATCAAGCTTTGATAAAGACTTTCGTACTGAAATCTGTGTTTTTTCAATTACTTGATTCAATTCTGACATGTACTGTGAGAAGAAAATGTAATTTGTGTCTTTAGCAAATCTGTTATCAGAATTCATTAGTCTGTTGTTAAAATACCTTGATAAGGTAATTTTCACGTCTCGATGTTCATTCCAAGAAAAGTTGCCACTTGGAAATAAATGAGGAAATGTCTTTGCTTCGTTTCCCTCTTCTTGCAACATTCTGATTGGATTTTTCCCTTCACCAGGTGCTATATTGTAAACATCGTCAAAGTAATGATCAAGAACTTCTTGTGCAATATCCACAGGTTGTAAGCATGTATCAGTAACAACTTCTTGGTTATTATCTCTGTCTTCTTCTTTCATTTCCTCGTCTACAAATTCAGTTGACTTATTTGATAACAAATCATTTTGGTCATCATTTTCTTCCCATGTGGTATTAATCCCAACATCCTTATACCATCTGTTCTCTTTCTTTAAAAATTCAAGAGCCATATTAATATGATTTGGATTAACAAACTGGTATTCAAAATGACCCTTGTAAGCTAATTTTCGTTTCAGCTTAACTCTTAACAATAAATTGTCATTCTCATTTCGGGGTAAACTTGTTGCCTTTTGCACATTAGACGGCACACACACAACAGGTCCATGTACATTTCTTTGACCACCTTGGGGAAGAGCCATCACTTTCATAAATGGAATATGCAGGGCAATGAGATGTTGCTCCAAACTGTTTAAATTCTTTAATTCACTTGGAATTTCTTCTAGTGACATTCGATTTACAACTGCCTCTGCTGGTGTATTACCACTTAGTATTTTTCTGTGACAAGTAAAACATATCCACAATGATGACTGTGGGCAATGCATTGGACAAGACAATGTACAATCATGAACATATTTCTTTTGTATGCAAATCTGTGCAATATCATTCACCTTCTTTCTTTCTTTGTACATTTCAAGTCTACAACCTTGGACTTGGTGTTCAAATAATAAACGATGACAACAGCAACATGTGTACTCTGGGCCACTTCTTACACTTTCTTTAAACAATTTCACAACTTCATCTTCATCTTCCAGTTTTACTTTCAGAGCACGTCTCTGATTAAGAACATTCTCTTTCTTTTTTCTCTTCTCATCTGCACTCAAATTATATTTTCTTTTCCCAGCAGTCTTTACCTTATCTTTGTGTTCTTCATTATTTTTGTACTTTTCTGTACTCCTTTGTTTAACATCCATTCTGTGAACTTCATCATTCTTGTACTTCTGTATGCTTCTTTGCCTGACATCCATTCTGTGTACATCATCATTTTTGTACTTCTCTGTACTCCTTTGTTTAACATCCATTCTGTGTACACCATCATTCTTGTATTTCTCTGTACTCCTTTGTTTAACATCCATTCTGTGTACACCATCATTCTTGTATTTCTCTGTACTCCTTTGTTTAACATCCATTCTGTGTACACCATCATTCTTGTATTTCTCTGTACTCCTTTGTTTAACATCCATTCTGTGTACACCATCATTCTTGTATTTCTCTGTACTCCTTCGTTTAACATCCATTCTGTGTACACCATCATTCTTGTACTTCTCTGTACTCCTTCGTTTAACATCCATTCTGTGTACATCATCATTTTGGTACTTCTCTGTACTCTGTTGCTTAACATTCATTCTATGCACTACATCTGAACCATATTTTTCAATGCTTGTTTTCTTCTTGTACTGTCTATACAGATCATTTGCTATGTATTTCCTTTTGCTAAAGTTTTTGCTGTATTCCATAACTTTAAACCTGTGTTCTTTGTTACAAGTGTATTTTTTCAAACTCCTTTCTTTTACCTTTGTTTGATACGCTTTGTTATTCCTGTACCTATTTCTTCCATCTGCTAATGCTTTTAATCTAAATCTAAGGTCTGTCTTGTACTTCAATTTCGCTGCTCTTGATTTCCTTTCCATGTAATCTCCATTCCTTAGTTTCATTTCATGACTTTTACATAATTTCTTCGTAGATGAAGTAATGCGTACTGCCCTCATGCGGTTTCGATTTATCTGTTTTTTTCTGTACTCTTCGTTCCCAACAAATTCATCAGATTTCATTGAACTATCTGTTTCTTTTCCTGCAACTGTTACCACTACATTATAATGATTCTGATTCTCGTGATCTAAATAAATTGACCCTAACGACTGAACATTTGTCGTTGGTTCTATCAATCGTCTTGAATATGTGATCCAGTGATTCTCTGTATATGTATGTACATCAGTACTCAAGAGATGACAAAGTGCAAGAATTTCTGTTTCAGTTGCCCATGAACCATCTTTTGACATATCTGTTAAAGACAAGTGATTTTTAACAGAACGTTCTGCAGGTCTTACAAAGGTTTCAAACAATTTTGTATTGTGTAGCAGATGTTGACACACTGCAGATCGTATCAGGTAATGATAATCCTCAACTCCAGTCAAACAAAATGAAATGGCCCTGAAGAAACAATTTCCATCCCTTTGAATTTCAATACAGCCAGTAGGTGCACCTATTTCTTCAACATGACAGACATCATTATCAACTTTGTTGGACTGTGGTATTCCCATAATTTCACAAAGCTGGTTTTTCATACTGCTAGATAATGGCAAGAAATCAATACTCTGACTTTCACTGCAAACAAATTCAACATCATCATCTGCAACTGACTGACAACTTTCATTTAAAGTGTTTGCACTTTCTTCAAAACTTTGATTAGACTCTCTAAGTTCATGTGAAACTTCTGTCTGCTCATTTTGAAGACAATGTTCATCAGTAGATGATAACTTCCTAACTGAACAATCCACACCAGTTACTTCACATTCAATAATTCCACTAAGTCCCAATGACAATGCTAATGACAATACATGATTGTATATATCATAAACTGATTGATACAGTATCCTTGTACTCTTTCCATTAAAAGCCATATTCCCTAATGATGATCTTGAATGCGAATCAAATGTAAAGTAACCATCTGATGTTTTCCCAATCAAAAACGTATTTCCACTGAAACACATAAAACACCCACTTGTTTCTCCAAGAGCAATCTCCAATGCATCTAAAATTGAATATGCATTAAAGTCATCATAGTTTGGCTCTATTTCAGACAAATTTATCAGGCTACATAAAGATTCATGTGCTTTGAACTCAAACATTGTGTTAAAACACTCAAAAAACTGGGGCAATTCATCAACTAAAAGGTATCTACTAACAATGGTTGAACTACGCTGCAAGTATGTATAAAGCTCATCACCTGTTGTTAACACTTTATTCATATCTGGAGTTTTCCATTGTTTGGCATTCTTAATTTTGTGGTAAGCTAATGCTGTTAAGCAGTTTGCAACACATTGTGTTCCTGCATTTTCACCAAACATAAAGTCACCCTGATGAAAAGAACCTTGAACAGTTACCTGAGACATTGTTACTGGATCATCATCAATAAAACATGCATACTCAGCACCATCCAGTCCACCAGTATGTGATCTCTCAAATCTGCAATCTGATTTATTTCTCTCATATACATTTTCTATATTCTCATTTTCATCATATAAATTCCTTTTAGTATCCTTTTTAGATCTCGTTCTTTTAATCTGGTTTGCATCAATCAATCTCCTGCTGGACTCATCCCCCTTGGAGGATGACATATCCAGCTGCGCCTGACCTGCTGAGCCAGACACGTGCACGGTGTCCGGCTCAGGTACCCTCGCTGGAGTACAAACCCACGGTGGGGAGTCAGGGGACGGTGCCATGCCTCCGTTTCGGGCACACAGACGACTTCCCTGAGAAGATGCGTTACTCAGGGCAGTTGGTTGCATTTTCTCGCGAAGAGAGGCCTGCAACCTGGCCAAGGGTTTTCCCTCAATAGGCGGCAACCCTATAGAGCCGTGCCCCAGAAAGTTACTGGGTGGAACTGAGACAGCTCCATCTACTGCCCCAAAAGGGACAGTAGACTCTGGTGGTTTATCATCAGGTTGGGCATCTGATGTGGGGAGGGTCTTCTCCTGCCTCTGTTCTCTCTTTCTTAGTTTGTCTTTGAGGCGTTTTCCTCGGCCAGAGTTGTTCTTTCTCTTTACCATCTAAAAAATTATAAAATTATAAAAAGAAAACCTTTCTCCGTGTACAAAGCATTGAGAACATCACTTATTTCAATCAGCATAAGGGAAAACAACAAGAGGCCCACAGACCACATTGCTCACTTGAGCACTGTCGATAGAAACAAGCAAAATCAATTCAGTCAATGCATAAGTCCTCCTAACCCTAAAAGAGATGTATAGTTTTCACAAATTTAAATCTAGGCAAACTTGAATCTACACTAATTTAGGATGAGTGCATTTTTTTCTTTAACTCTTTTTTCCCTATAAGTTTGAACTTTTATTGTGGTCACATCCTATCCCCTGGGGTCATGATTTTTTTTACAAATTTACACTATACCTGATGATGCTTCCATAAAAACATAACCAACCATGACTTTGCTGTTCTTGAGCATGTTGAGAAGATTTTTCCTAAATATTCCTATGTAAAACTTTGACAGTCCACTGTGACCCAACCCTTACCTAAGGGGGGAAAGAAATTTGAATAAATTTGAATCTACCCTAACTGAGGATACTTCCATATAAATATGACTAACCATGACTTTGCTTTTCTCAAAAAGATGATTTTCAATATGTTCCTGTATATTCCTATGTAAAACTTTCATCCCTATTGTGGTCCTCCTCCCCGGGGGGATCATGATTTGTACAATCTTGAGTCTACACTACCTGAGGATGTTTCCATATAAGTTTCACTTTTCCTTGCCCAGTGGTTCTTGAGAAGATTTTTCCTATATATATATATATATATATATATATATATTCCTATGCACAACTTTAATTGTCAATTGTGGGCCTGCCCTATCAACAGGGGTCATGATTTGAAGAAACTTGAATTTACACAACCTGAGGATGTTTCCATATAAGTTTCATCTTTCCTGGCCCAGTAGTTCTTGAAAAGAAAAAGACGGCATCAATTGTTCACTAATTTTTTATTATCTCCCCTTGGAATAGGATGTGGATTTCATTTTAACAAACTTGAATCCCCTTTACCCAAGTATACCTTGTGGTGAGATTTGGCTCAGGTGAGCTAAAAACTCTGACTTGTAATATGAATTTATCCTCACAAAGAACTATATGCGGTATATTGCATATATTTGCCCCCACAAAAGTCAAAATTTGAAAACTTCCTGAAATGTGCTGAATTCAATAAATTGTATGAGAAATATAAATTAACAGAAAATATTATAGTGTCAAAGCAGTGTATTCAGAATTTTTGTTTTTATGACGTCACAAACTAGTCCGATTTTTATCCTTTTTCAGAAAGAGGACAAAATGGACAAAATTTCAACAATTTTAGCTTTAAAATTTATAAAGCGCAAGTTTGTTCAGGAACAATATTGACATATTTCATTGATATTATCATTCTACACATTATATCAAAATATTGATTCTGAACACACATGCGCTCGGTGACTTTTACTCAAAATATCGACGAAATATGTACTTTTTTCTGTAAAATTCATAAAAAACTGAAATTTACGTCATGTTTGTAACGTCATTACCTACACATGGCGTCATTACTTATGAAAATATTCAGTGCTTTGAAGTCAGCATATACTCCCCTGTTTAAGAACTTAAATATATCTCCATCAAAGTTTGATTTGGGGGGCAAATATTGGTTATTACCAAATAAAGTTCTTTAAGTAAAAAGTAACTTAAATGAAAGGCCCATGGGCCACATGGCTTACCTGAGCACTGTTGCTACAATAAATAAAAAATCAATCTACTATTGAAAAAGCTTAAATGCTTTGGTAGTCCCAACTTACCCCTAAAATTAATGGTAATTACATAGCGAACCTATTTTTATATTCATATGAAGCAGAATTTGTGTAAAATCTTATGCATGAAAAGAAGAAAACATTTGCTGTGGCCTTCAACTTGATATTTAGATATATCGAAGACATATTGTCAATTAACAATGGTAAATTACATTCCTACGTGAATACGATATATCCTGGTGAGCTTGGGATAAAAGATATCACAGAGTGTGACACATCTGTTTCATACTTGGATATTTTACTTGAAAAAGACGTTAGTGATAATGTAACAACCAAGCTATATGATAAACGTGATGACTTTAACTTTTCTATCGTCAACTTCCCTTCCTTATGCAGCAATATACCTGCATCACCTGCACACAGATTGTATATTACTCAGTTGATTCGATACGCAAGAGCTTAATTGCTATACATATGAACAATTTCTAAAATGAGGTAAATTATTGTAAAGCAAGTTGATGAAACAAGAATATCAGTTGTCTCGTTTCTGTGGTCAATACAATGACCTTGTCAGCAAATACAACTTATCATTGAGTCAAATGCTGACTGACATTTCGCATACTTATCGTATTATTTATATGCTGAATTGACGACAGATTTTTCTGTTATTTCCTGATCTTGACAAGGAGCAAATGGCGGGTGTGACCGATTAGCAGGGGATGCTCACTCATCCATGGCACCTGATCCCATCTCTGATGTTTCGGAGGTCTGTGTTTGCTGTGCTCCTATTTTGTATTGTTTTATGGACTTTGAGATTGATTAGTGTTTGTTATCTTCACATCCTTCTTTGATTAACTGTGGCTTTTTTCTTAAACTTTCCCCCCAGAGTTCACAATTTGAACAAACTTTAGTCTAAACTACCTGAGGATTTTTCCATATAAATATGACCAATTATGGCTTTCTTGTTCTTGTGAAGAAGATTTTTATTAAAATTTTTTCCTATATATCCCTATGTAAAACCATGATTATCGATCATGGTCCCACCCTACCCATAAGAATCATAATATAAATAAACATGATTCTACACTACCTGAGGATGCTTTTATATAAATATGACCAATCATGGGTTTGTTGTTTTTGAAAAAAAAAATTCTTAAAGATTTTTACTATGTATTCCTATAAAAAAAACTCCTGCATTACCTGAGGATGCTTCCATATAAATATGACCAATCATGGCATTGCTGTTTTTGACAAGAGAATTTTTAAACACTACCCCAGAATGCTTCCACATAGGTTTCAGCTTTTCTGATCCTGTGGTTCTTGAGAAGAAGATTTTTAAAGATTTTTCCTATATATTTCTATGTAAAACTTTGATTCCCTATTATGGCCCCGCCCAACCCCCGGGGGTCATGATTTGAACAATTAAGAATCTACACCACCCCAGGATGCTTCCAAATAAGTTTCAGCTTTTCTAGCGCTGTGGTTCTTGAGAAGAAAATTTTTAAAGATTATTCCTATATATTTCTTTGTAAAAGTTTGAATCCCTATTGCAGCCCCACCTTACCCCCGGGGGTCATGATTTGAATAATTTAGAATCTACACTACCCCAGGATGCTTCCACATAAGTTTCAGCTTTTCTGGCTCAGTGGATCTTGAAAAGAAGATTTTTAATGACCCCACCCTATTTTTGTCTTTCCTTGATTATCTCCCCTTGTGAGGGGTCTTGGCTCTTCATTTTTACAATTCAAACTACTCTTCACCCAAGGATGCTTTGTACTAAGTTTGGTTAAAATTAGCCCAGTGGTTCTTGAGAAGAAATCAAAATTGTGAAAAGTTTACAGATGGACAGACAGACAGCAAGACAAACAGCTGGACGGATGACGGACAAAATGTGACCAGAAAAGCTAACTAAGTGAGCTAAAAATTCTGAAACTCTAATTTGTCAAGAAATCATAGTAATTTGAGATAATAATATTTTGTCTTGACAATTTCATAACTTATTCTCAAAGATTTGTATATCATTTTGTTTAGCATTATGACATTTTAAGACAAGAAAATTTGAACAATTCTGCATAATTCAGTGAAAAAATCATAAGAAAGTGGGCGCTTTAGATGGGGATTCGGTAGGAACACTGGCAGATAAAAAGAATAAAAATTTATCATTGAATTATACATTTTTTTCAAAACCTACCCATTGACTGTGTTGAAGATAAAAGGGAAAATGTTCGGATAAAAATGCTTGATTTTATCTGAATTTGTACCCTTTTAAAGACGTTTTTCATTAATTTTGTTATTTCTAGGTCTTCGCTCCATGAATTTGAAATGCGTTATCAGTTTATTTTTAACACTAAAATTTATTCCAGCTGTTTAAACAATAAGCCCATGGGCCTTATAGCTTACCTGAGCATCATGATACAACTTTCAAACAATTGAATTTGGTTTGTGTTTTAAACCAGAAGCCATGAAATTCACAAGTTTGAAAGAGGCACTATTGCATCATAATTATACACTTAGCATACTTATTCTAGTTACTTTTTACCAAGAGTTAGATCAGAGTAACAAAAATAAAATTCATTTCAACTTTATAACTAGTCGTGCACCCCACCCCACAGGAATCACTGACCCTAAAGCCACATATTTCAAAATTTTGGAAATTTTATCATAAATTTTATTTCATCATAAATGGTTGATTAATACCACAGAGCAGATTTCGAAGCATTATTTTATCTTTACACTTTGAACTGTAACCTCCCCCCCCCCAACCTCCGATACAGGAGGAATGGAAAACATTTTCAAAGAATTCATGCATTTTCAGTATATATAATCAATAATAGAGCCCCGTCCTAACACCAGAACCCCTGATCCAGGGACCATCAAATTCACAATTTGGGAAAAGGCAACCTTTTTCATCATAACTATGTACATAGTTCATTAGTTTAATACCCAGGAGCAGAGAAATTTTTTAAAGAATCAATACATTAATATATTTTCACTATATAATCAATAGAGCCCCAACTTAAAAACAGAACCCCTGAACCTGTGGCCATGAAATTCACAATTTTCAAAAGACACTTTTGTTCATCATAACTATGTACTTGGCTAGTTTGTAAACCAGGAGCAGAGGAGGAGATTTTCAAAGACATTTCCTAATGATCTATATAGCCTGACCCGAACACCAGAACCCCTGACCCAGGGGCCATGAATTTCATAATTTTGGTAGAGAACTCAAAGCTGATTAAAATCATGCAAACAGTTTGACTGCTTGAT